TGATTCGAATTTGAATTATTCTCGGACCACGTCGATATTATAGTCTATAAAATACTTATAAATTTATAACCATCATGTTTTAGGCGATGGAATATTTTGCATAACTCTTTGCTGAGATAATAAATAATTTCCACTTGGCGGGGTACACTGTCTTTAATAAACTTTCAGTGATTGGTTTCCACAGCGTGTAGTAGATAAACGAAAATAACGAGTACCATCTGTGCAGTTCTCCGAATTATATGGTTTCTGCGACCGAGAAAATTCGATCATTATTTATATGAACGCGGCCAATATTATTTAACACTGCGATAAGTTTTTCTCTCGATTATCTTTATTATGACCTTTTTTTTTCATGTTTGAACCAATGGCGTCGCGGGCGACCGCTTTCGCATTCCTTCTGCGAAAACTTATATCATGACCTATCATTGTTTAAAATGCGTATAGTGGGATGATATTTATTTCCGTCGCAAAATAATAGATAGGCTAGATTAACTATAGGCTAACAATAGTCTACTGCAGTTGTTAAATTATGTGTAGAGTAATTCACCAAGCATGATACTTTTCCGTGTCTTGCAAATTGATATATCTTAATCAAAATTTGAATGAGTAGTTTCTGAGTGATAAAAATGTCAATAGATTCATATAAATTTCGAAATAGAAAAACCAACATTTTCGAAAAATAATAATAATAATACCTGTATTATAATTATCATAATTAACATAAAAAAATTTGATTCTCATTTGTAAAAAATATAAGTATTTGAAAATAAAGTCATTAAGTATATTTAATACTCGTAAGAAGGCGTGAGATTTAGTAAATCATCCTATATAATATACATACATAAGTTATTTATCGTCGCTGTCAAGTTCCTTTGCTACAGTTATTATAAGTATACCTACTGTATGGTCTTTTAGTAAATGAGTGGAAAATTATATATATTACAAGTATATCATGAACTTTTTTTTTTATGGAAAAAAAATGGTATGTATAATTATTGGAATCCAGCCATCTGTTCTACTTTTTTTTTTTAATCTTGTTTTACGATTCGGGACGGAATATCATAATAATATATGAGCGAGATACAGCCTGATTAAACACTACGAGAAGTGTGTTCTGTGTTTTCGCCCTTAAGACGCTATAATAATAATAAAACTAAAAGAAAAAAATACATATTATGACGACTGTACGAAATAAATTACCATATACTTCAATGGCCCATAGTGCACGTTGGCAGCAGTAAAACTTTAATGTTGTATTACGACGGTTACGCGTACGTTATAATAACTATAACAACAATAGAAATAGTAATGTTCATACATTTTATACCTACAGATAATATATTGTTTTTGTCTGAGTTACCTCCTCGGGAATGCCTCCAAAATGGTAACATGTATTTTTTTTAATTCGTGGTTAAAATATTAGATCTATAATAATAGTTTATAGATCGTTACTTACTTTATATTCACTGTAGTTATAAAATAATTATTTTTCAATCAACTTCCAAATCAAAAAATCTATAAAAAATCGTTCACCTAGCTCACTTTCATAAAATGTTACCTACTAAAAAAATTTAAATTTTCAAATAAAGTATATATATATATATATATATTTGTATAATCTCAAAATGTTCTTCCGCTATAGTACCTTATCATTTAGTTGTGTATAGAATACGGATTTTTATATACTTAAAAGTATCCTAATAAACCGTCAAAATATGCGAAGAAAAATAGTTTAAAAAAAAAATACCTAATTGAATCATTGATTTGATAATTATTAATTGTAAAATTGTCCAAATAATTTTAAATAAATTTAATTATACTCGTTACAAAACAAATAATTCTTTTAGTGTACCAATTACTAAACAAGATTAAAAAAAAAGATTACTTGCAGTTAAAAACGATCAAATTAATATTATTTTACGGAAAAATGGTATAGGTTGAAGGTTAACAGTCGACAAAACGTATTATTGAAATTATTTTACGTTTTTGTTTAATTTTTAAAACTGAATAAAATTTAATTTCACTTCAATTTATAAAAAAAAATTATGTCACCAACTTAAAACTATTACGATTTGTAAAGATCACTAACAAAAATTCATAATATAAAATTTTATAAAAATCTTCGCGTAAATATAATTCAAAATTATAAAAGCATTCAGTGTCATTGTGCGTGTAAGATATTTGTTTATTTATTTTATGGTTATATAACATTAATGTAAAAAATGGTGAAGACCATATATTATATTATATTATCGTGTTTGGAAAAGGGATAACATGTGTTGTGAGTTTGTAAAAAATTACTTCCACACATTGTCGAGTATTGTTATTTAACCATGTTACACATATTTGAATGCATGGAATAATATTTATTGTAAAAAACATCGAGTCTATATTCGAATCATATAATGTATTACTTTTTGTAGAATATGATTTAAAATTTTCAAAAACATATTAAAATATGCATTTTAAACATAAAATCTATTGATTTGGTTTTCGATCAAGCCACATAATTATTATTCATGTACGATCATCATATGCGAAGAGTTTAATCGTCATTGAATCCTTAGTCTTTATCTTACATACTCGTGCGACTATTCTTGACCTTTTTTGTATATCCAACCACAATACATTCGTTTTCGCGCATTTTCGATTTAGTACGATTTTCACAATCATTGCTGGTGTGATCTTTAATTATATATATATATATATATATAATAATTAATAAATAATAATTTATATTTATCTTTATATCTGTACGACTTTAAACAACCTGAAATGGATTGGCCCCATTATAGATTATTACGTAAAACATGTGCTTAAATAGTCTTTTTTTGTTTGAAGTTAATACATTTTTAAAAATATGTATTAACACCATACAATAATAAAGTTTATTCTAAAAAAAATGTATATTTTCTAATAAGCTTTACAAATTTTAGGTTTAGATGTAATTTAAATATTAGTAAAACTTTTATTTTCGTTGGCGATTTGTTAATTTTCTATCGAATTCTATCTATTCTCATTATGTAAGTGTAATGTATTTTAAAATTTATAAATATTCGATATAATATAATATAATTATCTTATTATAATAATTAAGATTTTTATATAAAACAAAATATTTTTAAAATCCGTTAAAATTTCGTATATAATAATAACTTTTGTTTTATTGTTCATATTGATGCAACAAATTCATATCATTCCAAATATAAATGACTAAATAATAAGGGATTATAGACCAAGTTTTTGAGACTTAAATCTACTACAATATTAATTGAAAAAAACATGTAGCGTATATTATTGAATTTTTCTAATTTTCTATAAACAAATTATTAATAGTCAGGACAAAAGTTTGATATCTTCACATGCGCATTAAATAATATTTGGACATAATATAAAAGAACATTTTTATTAAAAAAAAAATGAATAACGTAAATTATGATGTAACCATTCTTTTTGAAAAATGTTGCAGATTTTATTTATTGCATCATTATTAACACAATATAATCTAATAGTATGTATTTTTTTCATTAACTTATTCTTTCGTGAGCTTCTCGTGAAATATTAGAATATTTTTTAAAAAACGAGAGAAAATGTATAGTGATAATTCATCCTATGGTTCTAAGAATAAAATAATTTGTAACTTTTCTCTTTTCACTACTAACATTTAAAGGTCGTTGGAAATTCGTCATGATAATAATTATATCATATTATGAAAGCTTATTTTAATAACAATAAAGTAAAATACAAAATTACTAAGACATATAGTGTCCAATATGTACCTATATGTTACGCCCAACTACTTGATTGTTATTTTCTTAAAATCTTATTAGACGCATATAATTATTATGAATATAATTGCATTTTTTAATTCGTGCAGAAAAATTATTTTGGTTAAAGTAATATTACACTATGATATTTATGTTAGACCGTTAGACGAACCAATGCGTTAGCTAAAATGGTCTCATGTAATATTTACCGCGCTATATAAAAAATTAGTGAAGCATGATATTTACCGGAAGTGCAGTTTACCCGTTCACGTATTCGATATTTAACATATTTTTTTTACATAACAATGTATTATATATATTTATTAAGATTTTAATGTTAGTAAAAAAATCAATTGAACATTAAATTTCTAGAACCGTTTATTTTAACTATTGTTATAGTTAGGCTTCTTTTATTTTCAAAATGTTTGTTTTTACACTGTACTTGTATGGCTTAGTTTTATACTAAGTCATTTCGATACTATAATATACAAATATTTATTGCATACTTGTTTAGTTTAACTGAATCAGTATTTAAAAAATCTGTGTTTTTGTCGTCTGTAGGGAATAAAAACTGATCGATCACGTCTAGAAGTAGGTAATTAATATTGGTAGATAATCACGAACTAGTGGCAATAAAATGTATATTCTTCTCTTCATAAGTTTTTTGTATGAAGGTCGTATTTTTTTCCGGCCATAATCGATATATTAACCTTTGCTGAGTCTACCGTAACAATCAGACATCATTAAATCAAATTTAAATAATGATACATAATGTTGATGTTAGATTAGCTTTATCACGCTTATAATAAGTTAGTTCAAAAATTACTCAGGTCTAACTTGAATGGTAGGTATATTTGAGTTATGCAGATCGCTTCTGGTCTTTAATCTTTTATGGACGAGATTTCTAATTTTTTACTTGAGTAAAATGAATTAATATATACTTGCATAGTAACTGGATTGAAGCTTATTTAGTCGCCTGAGTTTGTTAAGTGTTTTTAGGTCTTATATAATTATAATCGTGGTATAATGTAAATTATTTAAAAAAAACACCTATATAATATATAGTAAGTTACTTTTTTTAATGTTAGGAAGATTTGTGAATCGTATAGCGCAATTGATATTTTTTATACCGTTTCGTTAGTACTTTCCTGTATATTAATAATAACTAGTGTATAAAAAAATTTAAAAAAAAACATTTTTTAATCCTATTATGTTTTTTTTTTATTATTACAGGAAATCAGAAAACTCTTAATCGAATTTCCCGTTGAAAGCATTCACATAAGCACAACATCCGGCAGCAGTATGGCCCGAGTGACGCTGGAAGATCCAGAATTGAGGATGGAAGAATGGGATTTTCATAAGCAGTTTGTGTTAAGAGGACAACGCATACCAGTATCCCCGACACCTACTGAAATGCTCTTGTGCGTGGCAAGGTTGCCGTACAACTATACGGAGGACCAATTCACCCGATTAGTGCAAATGTACGGTGAGGTGCGCAAGACGTTCCTGATAATCAGTGAGAAAACCGGTGAGAGCAAGGGTTATGGATTTGTCGAGTATTTAAACAAAGAGTGCGCGATTACGGCCAAATGCGGTCTGGACGGCAAAACGATTGACGACTCGACACTGGTATGTGATTGGTTGGATGGAAGTCACATCACGTATGAGTCGCTACACTCTAAATGCCTTTACGTGGACAACTTGCCAAAGTCATTCAGAGACATGAGTGAATTCCGGAAAGTGTTCGCCAAAGTCGTGAACCCGCCATATTGCCAGGTCAGTTTTTATACAAAATTAACTATAGCGGTTGTGTACCTAGTACCTACTGTGTATTGTATTGTTGTTCAATCGATGCTTAATCATAAATCTGTTGTTTAGATTGCACTTAAAAATGGTTGTCCGTTAGACTGGGGTCTAGTCGAGTATAACACAGCTGAAGATGCAGAACGAGCGCAATCGGAATTGAATGGACATACATTGAGAGGCCATAATATTCGCATTACGTACTATATACCCGGAGTCAGAGCTATTAATTTGTTCTTGAAATTGTTAAATGAGCCGGTAATGGTGTGAAACAATCTAATAATCGTTTATATTTAATTTTTATTAAAAACGTTTCTTTTTTATTAGAGTAAATCTAAATGTGGTGGACTCTTACCAGACCCTCCTCAAGAAGTCATCGAGCAATCGTTGCAAAACCTCTCCAAACAGAATCCAATTTGTAAGTATCTAAATAGTAAACATTTATTCAAAAGTTGAATTTTATGGTATTTTTTTAAAATTTTAGTTGCACAAAATCTTCAAAATATTATTTTTAATCAAATCAAAGCTGCTCAGATGGGGTCTGAATTGCAAGATTTTAATGATAGTAAGTTCATCAAAGTTTTTAATTATCCTACTTACTAAATTGTTTTATAACTGAATTTTATTAAAAATATTTATAGCAACTATAAGATCACATTTATCAAACAACAAAGCTCCACCAACTATGTTGCATTCTCCCACAAGCTTACCTTACATAGGTGCTACTCCAGAGGTAAAATTATATATATTTTTTAAAATAATTAAATGATTTCTAATAGTTTATTTTTATTTTGTTATTTTAGACTTATGGAACAAGGTTATTGCCTAGCCCCCCTGTTGGAGAAGTTCCGCCACATTTAAATTCTGGATTATTCGATGGAGATTTAACCAATCCAATACTGGCTAATTATTATAGAGACCTATTAACTGCTCAAATTTTAGCTGGAACACAAAAGGCTAATGGATTTGGAGGTTTAACTGCTAACCTTAATCCTGCGTTTGTTGATACTGTACAACAAACTACAAATAACAATAATAGTTTAAATCAAATTGATGCCGTACAAAAAGTTTATCAAAACCAAAATTTACAAAGTATTGGTCAACAATTAGCTCAACAAATAGCTCAGCAACAGATGAATCAACAACAAATTAATCAACAGTTAGTTCATCAACAACAACAACATAGCAATATTGGTCAACATAACATAAGTCAACAACAAAATGTTGTTATTAATATTTATGGAGGTGTTAATACTACTACACCTCCAGCTACACCAACTCCAACTACACCTACTTATCCGTTTGGCTCATCATTATCTCTCAACTTAGACCAACCGTGGCCAAAAAATACTCAGACGTCAACAGCTGATTCATATCTAGCCAGTCCCATTGCTGTACCTGAAAAATCATCTCTAAGTTACTCTCCATCATCTACATGGTCTTCTATGCAGAGCATCGCTTCGACTCCATCGCCACAATCTATGTATTCTCCTTTAGCCCCAAATATTTGGACGCCGACTTCGTCAACATCATCGCTGTCAAATCAACATGAAACAGCTCGTGGTCAAAAAAGAGGCATTCCTCCATCTCCTGAACTTAGTCCTGAAGGTATGTATATTGGACAGCATTCTCAAGGAATTGGTGGCCACTATGCTGATTCTTATTTGAAACGTAATAAGAAAAATTAAACTCTGTTCCAAACTTAACTTTCTATGTTTTATCTAAAACGTACATAATTCTTATGTTAATTTCATAATCCAGGACTCAATAATTATTTCGTATTTTGTATTTTTATTTTAATATTAGATTTAATTATTAACAAAAAAACAATTATAGATTCGCTTCTGTTTGAATTTTATGAGAGCATAATGCCAACTCTTAATGTGAAAAAAAAACAAAACCTTAATTTGCACGTATGCAACTTTTCTATTTCTGTTTTCTTTATAATATCTACATATTTATTTCAATTGATTAAAAAGTCCTGGACTAATTTATTATTTTCAATATTTTTGTTTTGACTACAATTCAATGTTGACTGAAATGATATGATATAATGTCATATTCATATTATTTTTTTTTTTTTTTTTTTTTTTTTAATATTCTTGATTTATTACAATAATCTAAATTAACTTATTTTTATCTTCTAAAGTATTCACTTTATGTTCATGAATTTTTCACAAGACCCCTTAAATGGACTTGTTAATTTATTCACATAGAAGTCAATACACTAAATGGTATTTCTGATTTATTATGAATGATAATTTGTTGTATAGTTAAAGTTTATACTCGACTTTATGTTCGGTAATGAGTTAAATTTGTCATATTTGCCCTTTTTTCCATTTTTATTTTTTTATTTTTTGAATTTTTTATTGTAATCCAAACCAATTAATATATATTATTTTAATATAAATATCAAGTCTTAAATAATATAATTATCAATCTTAATAAGAAATATTTCTAATTTTAAACTTTCATACTATTGGGCTAATGCACAGGATCTATTGGATCAACAATTCCTCAATCCCCATTATCATTTAATTATAATATTAGGAATAATATATAATTATATATTATGAACTACTTAATATATATGAACATATATTTTAAATTTGTACATGTTAAAACTGTGATTGTACAATTTAATATTATCAAATTTATTTAAAAACCAAAGTTATTGTATTTTATAATGCTCATTTGGTCTTGACTACACACATTTAATTTTGTTCAAAATAATGTTTTATTACATATTGACAATCAGAAACAAAAAAAAAAAAAAATAAATAGTTTTTATCCAATCATCCTAATTATTTAAATTAAGACTGCATAAATATGATAAGGGCATGCAATTTAAATTGCTATTATTACATATTTTTAAAAACTTAAAATGTTTCTAAAAAGTAAATTAATGTATTTGTTATTATTTTAAGGCTGATTAGTTAACCTGCTTTTTTTTCATTTTTCAAATAAACATCTTGGAGTAGGCAGTGTTTTTTTTTTATTTATTTATTTATTTTTATGTATTAAATAATTTTTGTATGTTACTTATTTCATCAACTGTTATCTTAAATATATACATATTTTTAAATTCTTTGTATTGCATACATAGTATTCAAACTATGCTAAGCTTTATGTACGAAGTACAAATTTCAGTTATTATCCTTTTATGTTTAATGTACATAATTGTTCTTTTAATAAATTTAATATTATAAGAAAGTACATTATTTCCCTTATTGTGTTACTTTATTTTAATAACATATCTTTTGAAAAATTAATACTATCAATTTTATTTTTAAACATTTAAGTTTTAATTGTTTGATATATCAAATAATCTTAATTATTTGTATGTATATTTTTTTACTAATTTTGTGTTTATAGATCTTATATATTATTTTTTCACTACTTTACTTAGATTGTTAAAAAACTACATAATGTTTACAATTTATATTTTTTGTTTCCGTTTATATGTTAAACTGTTAACATTTTTATTAGTATTATCTGTGTAACCTAAAATAATATGATTATCATGACAGTATACCTAATATGTATTTAAATACTTTGCCTATGGTTAATTAAATAATAATTTGCTTTTATTTGATGTTTGCAATTAATTAACAATTTCAAAAAAGGCTGACTAGTATATTCATATGAAATCATTATTTTTCCAATAATTTATGTACAATAAAAATGTGATTTATTATCTGCCAAAAAGATTATAGATCTTCAGTCTTCGTAAAACTTTTTTCATAATAATTTTGTTATCTTAACATTCTTACGTTATCTAATTATAGAATAATATTATTTCGTTAATACTTAATTATTATCAATGTTCTTATTCTTTGCTATGACCTTAACATAGGTAGAAAATACATCAATGTGATTTTGTATACATATATTTGTCTTTTTTAAGCTTATTGATATATATATTTATTTGTTAGTGTATCGCTTATTTTTTTTTTTAAATAATATTGAATTGTAATTTTTTTTATTAATATATGATGTGATTGTTCATTAAGCAAAAATTATTTTATATTATATTATTTTATTATTTTTTCTTGGTAATTTTTCTTTTTATAGTATTGTATTTTAAAGAAAATATGAGAAATTTATTTGACTTAACTATTTTTTGTATTTAAGATTTAATCTATACATTTTTATTTCCTTAATTCCTTCTACAGTGTTTTTTATAGAGTAAATTAATTTAAATATCTTGTTAATATTTTTAAACAATTCAGTTTATGAGCGATTTTCAATCAGTTATTATTGTTTTGCTATACTGGTGCTTTTGATGTATTAAAAAAAAAAAAAAAAGTGTTATACTAAAATTTGGATTTGGTATATAATTGTAAGCATTTATATAGCTGATATAATTTTTATACTTTTTTTTTTTTATAAAACTTTAATAGAAATGTTTTTTTTTTTTTATATGAAATAAAATAATTTCAATTGTACTTCATATTGAATGTGTATTAAATGATCATAGTTTTATAAGTTTGATTTGAAAAATGATTCTTTTGAATTATTGATATTTAAATAATTGTAGTATATAAATTTATTAAAAATATTGATTAATAATACCAGCTACTAGAATGTAAACATTTCAATGGAGGTCATATGGCAAACACAGTTATTGAAAATAGTTTTTTTTTTTATTGAACACCAAATTATAACTTTTATAATTTATATTTGTTTAAATAAAATAAATTAATTCTTTAATAGATAATTAAATATTGAAATTATCCTGTTTCACTGCTGGACCCTGTATTATTAATTAAATATTAAAATATAAGTTGATGAAAAGTAGCAGTGTTACTAGAGCATAGCCGATAAATTCAATAAACTGTTACCAAAAATGTTTTTCTTTACTGTATTGTTACTGCAAAACTATATATTACTGATGGTTAAAAAAAACTTGCTTGCTTGCTTATGTGATTATTTTAAAAATTCACAGTCAGCATTTAACATAACATTCTAACAGGAAAAAATAAATGTTTTGTGTATGAATGAAATTAACAAAACAATATATTATATTAAAAACCATAGATATATCTAAAGATTATTTAAGAATTTAAAAAATGTTGGGAAAATTATGATATAATATTTTAATATTACAGACTACACTCTATATAACTGTTATATTTATAGTAATTCAAAACCTTGTATATATAATAGAAAGTACTAAATATATATGTTAGTATGATAGATTAATGAGAACCGAAAAATCAGAATTTTACTTGTATGTAGATTAAAAGTTATTTAAAGTTCATGTTTAATGTAAATCCCACTGTTCTGTATGAAACTATTTAATTTTGAAATAAAATGTTTCTTGATGGTATAAATGTATTACATAAAATAAGTAAAATGTAAAAATAACACATGATAAGAGTACATAATAAATTATAAAAAAAAAAAAATAATGTAAATAGCATAACAATACAATACAAATACATAGCATATTTAATTTATTTTTGGATACCACGCTGACTTTTCTTCATATTTCATAATTCAGTTTCATTGAATACAGGCACATGTACATACAGTCATGGAATTAATTCTCCACGCAACAACCTTTATACATTTATAATCATTAATAAAATGTTTTTTATGTGTGAATAAGGTAAGTGAATTGATAAAGAATTAATATCATAATATTTTAAGAAATAAACAACTACCTAAATTCTGTTCCCAACTTCGTCCAATTGACAAATTTTATTTCTTTAATTGTGATGAACGTACTGCATACTACTTTTAATATTACAGATACTGGTCCATTAACCTCATAAGTTATGAGACTTTCAGGGCCCCGCAAGAAATTATTGTTAAAAATGAAATAATTTATATTTAAAACCCTTTTGTGAAATTCCATACAGGATTTTATTATCGAGTATAGTTGACAGTTGTATAATATTATTTTAATGTTAGTGGTCGGTCTCCGAAATATTAAAATATATTTTAGATGAGTTATAAATAAATCAAATTCGGAATTATTTTAAACCGCGATAACGATTAATAAATTCTCGTATAAACCAAATGCACGCTACTTGTACTGAGTGTCTGGCTATTTTCGTTATTATTTATCATGACTTCATGAGTAACAACAAATAACAATACATTAATATTATTTTAATTTTAATTTTATTGTCATTTCACGTTCATATTTATTACGAATAGATTTGTGTAATAATAATATAATAAATAAATAAATAAATTCCATCACGCCGCCCTAATAATAGGATAGGAATCGTAGCACAATCTAAATTTAATTTCCATATGATTACGCTTATAGACATTAGACAGTAATACAGTATTATATATTTATATAGGTACTTTTATATAAATATAATATTACTGTTGTTTATATTAATTATTATTATAATATAATAATAAAACAAAATTAAACACATCATTGCCGTCCGATTTGAGCAACAAAATCCATCGCACATCATAAGCTTCTATGGCCACCGCGCCGTCGTGATGATATTACTCGTATATTAATAATATTAAATCTACAGTTTATATGGAAAACCGGTATTTTTGTGTATTAAAAAAAGATTTCATAAAATAATTCATTAACTTTATTATACTGTTTTTTTATTTTATAATGTTGAGTAAGTTTATAAACTAGAAGGGAATTAAAAAAAAATTAGTGTAAGTAAATTTATTGTGTAAATAATAATGCATACTTCTATATTTCTTTTTATACTTCCTAGTTCAGTTCCTCAAATATAATCTTTTTCTATAAAATCATATTTAGTATTTTCAATGTTGTGTCATATTGTTTATTATTAAACAAAGCATACTTATTACTTTATTTATTTTCGAGTATTAGATACTTATAAAACTCTAATATACAGAATATAGAGTTTAATGTCTATATTATAAACTGTAGAGGTATCTAAGTACATACCTACCTAATATTATATTATCATTGTTTTATCATTTTTAAACACATCATATAATTTAACAAATATAACTATGTAAATTATTTATAAGATATATAGGAGTTGTATTTTTTCCAGTTGGTAGCCGGTAGGTTTTTGCTTTCAATACTTCGCATTTTGGGGCCCCTTTCAATATGATGTGCCCTGGGCTTCGCAAAACTTAGCGCCGGCGGTGCTTGTGCTGCTCGTGGGATTCATCGGATCGCAGAAAAAATTATGGATATTTTTCTTGAAATAAACGATTTAATTAACAACGGAAAGAAGATATTTTTGAAAGCTCCTTATAGAATTTAATTATATCATGAAATGTTACATTGTTACCTAATACACCATTACCACTTCAACCTATAATAACACGATGGGGAGCTTGGTTACAATCGGCAATATTTTATGCAGATAATTTCGAACCTTTTAAAAATGTTATTCAAAACCTACAAGAAGATGGTGCATGTTATATGATAGGTACTAATAATTATGGTTTTAATTTGAATAATTTTAATCTATTTGCTGTAGGGAAAAAAAACTTATTTTATTATAGAGTTTTCATTATTGCTAATGCTAAGAACTATATCCATTTTAAAGTTCATTATTTCATAATATGGGTTTACTATACGAGTAAATCCCATCTGGTTCTTGATGGCAATAGGCCATTAGATATCTTATTTTTTAAACTTTAAAAATTTTACCATTAGTATTGCTTAGAAAATAATACTAATTTATCATTACTCACCACCTACCTTAAATATCTAAATTTTACATTTTATATTAACCATAGTGCTGATTGGAGATAAGCAGAGCACCTCTACCATTTTATTTTTTTATTTACGTACTTTTTCCAACTATTATTTTTGAATAGAATGGGGGACGATGTACCTAATCTAATACTCAAATTAATTTTTCATCAAATATAAATTTAAATTATCGGTGATACTGTAATTACTATTTGTTGAAAAATATTATACATTTTGTAATTTTTTTTCTGGAAAGTTTCAATTGCATTATAAAATTATTATATCAAGTAACAATTAAATTAGTTGAATATTTAGATGAAAATAAATCCATGCATTAATTAAATTAATTAATTGGGTATAAATTATTTTGTATTTGGAATGCAGTTTTTAAACCGTTGGATTAATCTTTTCTACTAAATTTTTTCCAATAATTCGAACTCTGATAATGCTATACTAATGCAATATTGATTGAAAAACCATTAAATAAAATTGTTATCAAAAATCCAGAAGAATTAAATGAGTTGTATACAAGACAATGTATATAGATAAGTAGGTTCTTGATTATTAAAATTGTTACTTCTGTTACATGATTATACAGTAAATTAAATTAAAACAGATATTATTTTGATTCGTGAAAATTACGTTGTACACATGAAAAAATCTATGAGATGGCATTTCAATGTTTTCTGTATCAGTTTCATTACAATTTTTAATTCAATAGATACTGAGTAGTTTCTTTTATGCTACTTTGTTAAAAGACTATAACACACAAACAAATTGATAAAAAAATATACTGAATTTTAATTCCTATAAAAAATAAAGCAATTATATTTTATCTTATTTGATGGGAAACTTGGCGCAAAATAATATGTGAAAACGCTAAATATTTTTTACACTACTGAAGTAAGGTCTAAGGAGCTGGTTGAATTTAACGCCAGCAATGTGTTATCACTTATCAACAAAGCAGTTTCCGTATCACTAGTATTTGATAAGAGAAAGACACGAACTTGTGATAAGTGAAATGAGATGTTCGTTTGCAATGTTTACATGCTGACAAATTAATGACGCGGAACGAACAGCTTGACAAATACTCATCGATTAGTTTTTGACTTCAATTCACGGACTTCATAATAGTTTCAAGGTCGACCCCTTATAACACAGAATTTAGTCTTCCAACTAAGTACACACACTCAGAGGTAAGTACCATTCTAGTGTCGTGTACGCACCACTATTACCTATTACCTACTGATTACTGTCTATTCTTCACTTTGACACAACACTGGTTCAAACGTTTGATTGCAAGAATATTGTTTTCATTTTCGACCTTCCGAATATTATATTTACATTCACATGTCGAAAAATGACTGATTTGTTTCACCTTTGACTGTATTGATGGTACAATGTGTAAATGGTGTACACTTGCTGTTTTTTATTCTTTCTTTAAACATAAATTAAATGCGCATATTGGCATATTTAACAATAATTATATTACTGGAATATATTTATTTCAACACTGGAAATTAATCTTGATAAGATAAAATATTTACTTTTAATAATTGCTCGGGACTTGTCAAAACTGGAGTATAACAGGTTAGGTAATACCTACCTAGCATCTGCAAAGTAAATTCTGCATCTTAGGTTTGTTTTTACTAGTAGATGTGACCTGTGTTTACATTACTTGATTTTCAATAACATTTATACATTATTTTATGTTTGTTTATCGCAAACTCACTATCTGTATTATATTTATGGTTTAAAATTTGAAAAATAAATACACATGGATGTTATTAAAATTTGTTTAAATAAAATAAACTAATATTTTTTTATTTTTATTTTTTACAGTATTTTTAAATAATAGTTTAAAGTCCATATCTACTTTTATCAGAAAATGTCAATTGATTATGAAAAGTATGAAGAAAAAATACCAGAAGTGGAATACTGGTATCCACAAGCAATTGTTTATGATCCGATTAAAGCTGGCAGTATAGATGGTACTGATATTGAACCACATGATAATGGAATTAATAGAGCTATAAATTCCAATTATAAAACGTCTTACAAAGTAAAAGGAAATCCTCTACATACCATATTTGTTGGCCGATTAAGTTTAGATACAACAGAAAAAGATTTAGAAAATGTAAGATAATACAATTATTCTGAAACAATAATTAGAAAATAAATAGATTGATTTTATACTATTTTATGTAAAGCAAAAATTTACTAAATCAAAATTGACTAGACATTTTTTTATTGAAATATATAAAATAATGTACTATTTTTTTGTCTCAATATGTGTGTAAGGTACTATGTATATAAGTTCATAAATAAAAAAATAGTTTCATAAACTTAAACATACATTACATGTAATATTTTTAATTTTAATAAATGGTTGTAACGTATACGTATATTGTTTAATTGCATAATAATATTATTAGTATCTTTTTTTTATTTATGGGAAGCTTTTGTTAAAATTTGCTGTAATAAATGTTATGTATGCACTTAGATATAAATAAATAAATTGGTTAATTTCACTGTAGTGATAAAATCCTACTTTTTGGTTAAAAATATAAATTAAATAGTAATTGTTATTTATTTTGTTTCAGGAATTTTGTCGTTATGGTAAAATGATAGCTTTAAGGTTGGTCAGAGATATTATAACAGGTTTAAGTAAACGATATGCTTTTATAGAGTACGAAACATCTGAAATGGCATTGAATACTTATTTACGTTGTAAATCATTAATATTAAAGAACTCTAAAATATTTGTAGACTTTGAATGTGGACGGTTACTACCTGGATGGAAACCTCGAAGATTAGGTATAGCAATATACATATTTGAATAGTTAAATGAAAATCATTATTATAATTTACTTTTTAATTTTGTTTAGGTGGAGGTTTTGGAGGTGAAAAACAATCAGGTCAACTTAGATTTGGTGGTAGAATCAGAAATTTTAAACCACCGTTAAATCTAGTTGAGTTCAATAACAAAAGAATATGTAATGAGGAAAGCGATGAAGTAGAATCAAATACAACTTCTCCTTCTATGCATAGTGTGAATTCAAATTCTGTCAGTGTTTTAACTACATCTGCACCTACAATCATATCCTTACCATTAACACCGCCATCACAACCAGCTGTAGTTTTACCATTAACACCTCCTTCGTGTTCAAATGTATTTTTACCATTATCACCTCCTTCACAATCAATAATTGTCTTACCTTTAACACCTCCTTCAAATTCAACTGTCACATTACCACTTACACCACCATCACATTCAACCACATCATTACCTTTAACACCACCTTCAAATTCAATTCCACACCTTTAACATTAAATTAAATTTTTTAATATACTTATTGAAAATTGTAATGATTTATTAGTTATAAGTAATATTTATATTTTTTTGTATTGATTTATCTGAATAATTTAATAAATAATTTTGATTGTATGAAAGTTTTATTTCACTTTTATTACTTATTACTAGTAACTTATAATACTTTACAACTTAACAAGTTTAAATGTTAGTATTTTCTGTTGTTGTTTGTACTTACTATGTTACTCAACTAATTGACATCAGAAAATATAGAACATAAATTGTAAAAAACATTAAGATATACTTTTTAAAATTAAAATTACGAAAAAAAAAATAAACTCATAATCTCATAATAAATCATTTTGGAGATTTACAAAATTACCATTAGATCCCTTCTAGTGTACCATATGCTTAGAGCTACATACTTCCACCACATCTAAACACAGCGAATAAATATAAAAATTGTTCAGTTGCTATTTTTATTATACTACCAGAGTATTGGTTTTTAAAAATTCTATAATTTATATTTAATATTATATTTGGTACAAAAAGTTTAATTTATAATGTCTAAATTATTAAATTAATTGATTTATAAAATTGCAAATGAAACATGTAAGCTTGATGAAAAAGTAATTTAGTAACAGTACTTTAGCAGGTAGTTTTAGTCTCAAATATTTAAATATACTCAATATCCATGAAATAAAATATAAATTTTTCTATTTTCACTCCATAATACTAACATCAAATATCAATGTTTATTCTTAATATTTTCATTTCTTTTATTTTATAAACTAACTGTCAAAATGTAATAATTTTTAGTTGAAATATTATTAAACTAATAAATAACTTAAAATAATGTTCCTCAGATACATGAAACTGCATTTTTTAATATGTAAATAAACAATTAGGTTAGATAACAAACAATTATTATTTGTATCCAGTATTGAGAATGTTAAAAAGCTTATTAAAATCTTTATTAGTTTGTAAAGTAAGAACTTGTTAATGTATCATATATTTTTATTTTTATTATTCAAAGGTATAATTGAAACTATGATTAAATTAATTTTAATCTAAAATATTAATCTATATATTCACAAATTAATACACTTATAACAATGAAGATTTTAAAATTATTCTTCAAAGTTGTGAACATTTTCAAAAAATGCGCAAATTGTTTCATTGAAGCATTAAATTTCAATCTAAGAGATACTTTAAAGACATGTTAGTTTTATACTACTTGTAATTAAGTACTTTTTCAAAGATATTTACATACTTAGACACTTGCTTAGTTACCAAATTACCTATAAGTATACCTAAACTCACTTTACTAATTCATATTAGTTCTTTTCAGAGCTGTATTTTTTTTTTTACTAAAAAAAATCTTTTGGTTTACATGAAAAAATATTTTTAAATATATATATTATATATATAATATAAATGTATATATTATATATATAATGTATATTTTTATATTTTTAAAATATTTTTACATTGTAAAAATATTTTGGTTACCAATAATACCATGCATCTATCATACATTTTATGTGAATTAATAAAATGCATAAGATTTAATTAAAAGCCTCCTAAATTAAGTAGATACAGGATACTATTACATAAAATACAGACTAAGAGATTTTTAGTTTGTTCGCACTAACTGAAAAAACTACAAAACTAATTTTCTGAATTTTTGTACAACAGTTCCTGACATTCTTCTAAAGGAAATCTTTAATCTAATTATAATCATTGATTCTTAGTGGTGAAAAATCATATATTATTCATTAAGAAATTATATAAACTACCTACAAAGTACCTACTTTGTTTATAAACTTACTTAATTAATTTTCAAGTATGAATGTTAAACAAATTAATAATTAAATAAATAAAGACAAATAAATTATTATAGTTGATTGATTAATTTTGAAGCATCAAGAATTAAACAAATTATGAATCTGCAAAAACACAAATCAGATCAGTTAATACAGATATGAGTTCACAGAACGCTACTCATCTACTATTTTAAGGAGTACGATACATGCTGTTTTAATAACATTTTGAGAATAATTAAAATTTTAAATACTCATAAAAGTTGTTTATTTGTCATTAATGGCTATTGTGTACTATTGAGATTATTTAATAATTTATTAAATTATAAACTATATGTTAAAGAGAATAACTTAACTTGCATCATAGAATTTTGTTGTCTTAGTTAATCTAGTGGACTTGTAACTCTTGTTATATTTATTCACTGAATTACTACACTTTTGACTTTTAAATATAATATATAATATACCTATGACCTATCGTAATGTTAGGTCCTTCATCGTCATACGTTATTGTTATAACCACTCCAGTATTCATAAATATGTTAAGGTATTTGATCAGCAAATAGGTACCGATATAAAATTATAATATACTATAATATACTTAGTTGGATATACTTCAAACTCAACGTATAATACATATTTAGTTTATGAATAGTCTAATTATATTATATATTTAGGCCAAAAGACATATTTTTAACATTTTCACGAATATTCTTCGTTTAATTAAAACTTATCTTATTAAGTTTATACATTTATTCAGTTTGTTGGTCATATAACCTACGCATAGCTGCATATAAAGTATCACCTTATTTTTTACATAAAACCCGTATAGATAATTATTCATTATTTATAACGTTTATTTATCATTGCTAGAAAATAGGTAGGTATAGATAAAAATATTTCTTACGTGTATTAATCGTATAAAACTGGTTTATTTGTACAAGTATTTATGTATCAAAAATTAAATATTTTTAGCATAAAATTGGTAATAGTTACTGATAGAAATAGGTGTATTGTACTCACTACTTTTTTATGTTGAATTACTAAAGAATACAATCTATATATACTAAATAATGTAACTATAATATCATATTTATGTGCAATAATCATATTACCTAAAATTTATTTTGGTAGGTAAGTACTACACATAACACCTGTATATACTACATTAGGTATGATATATCGATTTAATAGGTAGGAGTAGATTTTCAATAAATAAATATATTGTATTAAAATTGGAAATGTATTCCCTATTAAAATAAATTTATATTTCTTGGCTAAAAGTGCTAACTTGGTTTTTTTATGAGCATCAAAAAATTCTGATTTATAATTCTTCAGAAATCAATAATTATTTTACTCGATCTATATAACAGAATTATACGAGCTATAAAAGGTTTACAATGCAACAACTATTTTTGTTTATACATAGTTTATATAAATACTACTACTATATAGCTAGGTACATTATACGTAATTAATCATAAAATTATTCCATGTTAAATATTATACATACTTGTGAAAAAATGATTTAACTTTTTATTTAAATATATTAGGTAGCTATCTAATAAAATATACTATACTTATCATTTTAAAAACATTATTTTTTATTTCTTCGTCATCAGCTTCGATTTGGATAGTTTATTAGTTATTGATGATAAAATTTGTTTCTGCTAAATATTTTTTTGAATATTTTCTGATGCACGTCGTACTGTTATATTTACTCTAATTTTTCTTTAAACTTTTTTAAATAAAAAAATTATTTACTTATAAACAAGGTGATTATCTATACTTCTTAAGTGTTTGGTATTATAAAGCTATAAATGTTGTGATTATTTTGTTCTCACAATTTAATTTATTATTAAGTGTACCTATTCGTAAAAAAAAAAAAAAAATGGTAGGTACCTACTTATCTAATAGAATTCATATAAAAACATTAAAGTATTAAATTTAGCCCCCACTAGTAGTTAGAAGTCAAAATTACCCTCTTCTTTGTTTAATACACAAGTTTAAAAGTATTAACTTACAGTTTTTAAACACGTATAAAAACCTATTATTCAGTAATAGCTTAATACTCATACAAACATACCTTCACAAATGGCTGCCGAATGCAGCCTATAATAAGTATTTGACACTTCAACAAAATGCAAAAAAAACCTATAATAGTATTATGTTTAAATTTTAAGTTTTTTGTTTTGATAAATTAATTTTAATTTTCCTCATTAGTATAGATTAAAAACTAATAAATCCAAGAAAATATATAACAATTAAAAAGAAAACAATTATTATAATCAATTATCCCAAACAGGTACATTTTAAAACAATTTCCATAATATTAATATATTTTGATTGATATTTATAATTATCTAGATTACTTAATCTAGATTTTTAGATAATAATTTAGATAGGATATTGTACTTGAAATATGATACAGCGAGGGGATATAAAATCATTAACATCACAAGTTATATTTACCAAAGATAAGGGGTCTTTCAAAATTAGACTTTATTAGTATGTTCTCTCTTGAATGTCAAACTTTCTGGCCTTGATGGCCTTCGTTAAAAAATTCTTAACAAATTTTCAAATATTTGTGATTTTGATGAAATATCTAAATTTTTTAACTTTAAACACGAATAAAAAAAATGTTTTTCTTTTTATCGGAGTATAAAAAAATAATGGGAGACCTTGTATTAAATTCTCTATCTTATTTAAAATCAGAGTAAAATGGCTTCTCCTAATAAAGACAGAAATAACGCATGATGTACTAGCTATTAACTGGAAGATTTTTCAAATTTAAACTATAATATTTTGAATACACAAAGATACATACGAGTCACGAGACAACATAGATGATAATATATTGCACAATATTACGACAATGTCATTTAGTTGATCGTCTCGAAAACACGTCTATATGAGCGATAATATGCATCTATTTACCAATTTCACCAGTAACACGGCGATACGCCTGTACCTAAACGACCATATTGTAATATTCACCTAAATAAGTCTCAATGATGTAGACTTTCTAATTCTTATAATTTATTATTTAGTGTATATTATATTATTCAGTTATATAGTCAAAGAAGTAGACAGGTAGAAACAATGTGTATACCAGTAAAAAACTCGAATATCCATGTACAGAGTATTAGAGTGATACTAAAACACCACGCGGCGCATACGAATATAATATTGTGTACACTATTAGGTATATAGGATTCCATACCGACTGTTTTTAAGAAGTTCAGTGTAGACAATTTTTGAAGTGCTTGAGAGAGTATCGTATCGTATAAACTATAAAATATTATGTGCATACTGTAATTAGTAATTGATCATTAATGTGTGTATGAAAGAAATAGTAAAGCGATCTCTCACGATTTTTTTTTTGTCTATATAGTTATTCTATACCTACCTAAATCTTTTCACTTTTACCAATTATATTAATTTACCTATTTATCCGATAGAATATCTGAAAACATATTTAAACTAACTTCTTTAGTTCGATATTTTTAACATTTTCAAATACATAATCTTTAATGTTTAAAAATGTAAATTTGAAGGTTTGTGAGTCCAATTTAAAAAGTGGATTAATCGTTTCAAGAAAACTTCACTGTAAATTCAAATACATTAATAAAAATAATTTTATCCGATTACCAGGACAGTATGAACAGTTGTCATAAGATTGGTCTATTTTGATAGGAAACCCAACCGTGATCGAATTCCCATAATTTTACAACGTTAGCGTCCTTTTGGAGAAATTACTTCCAATTTTTTAGCCTTTTCTCGATGTTACGTAAACTCGCGCAACGCGTAATCTCATATAGGTCGTCGATCATTACGAGACTATATATCGGCTGTTGCGTAAGCAGTACCTTACAAATAGTACAACAAGCTGCACTCTGCTGCAGTGTGCAGCTCACATCGCCGGGCTGCTCCCATAAGTGTATTAATTTAAATCATTTAAATAATCATGTCTTCAGTTTCGTGGGCCCAAGTTATCGTCAAAGCGTGCCCGTTGAAGACGATTTCGATTTTCGGGATTGTAGAAGAAAGACACTGTCGCGACAAAAAACTTACCTCACTATCACCTGCCCACTGTATAGTGTTCCATTAATCATTATAATATTTTACAAAATAAGTCGTACCAGCAGGCCACAGCTGCAGCGGCACTCGGCAGTCGGTCGGACCGAACCGCGAGGCGGTATAAGAGCGGTTAAACAACATTCCCTCCACGACGGCGGCGGCGGCGGCGGCGGCGGCCGTGTAAATGCGATAAACGCATCGTCCGCCCGCCTTCCCACCCGCCCGCCCGCCAACGCATTACCACAGTGTTATTCAGTCTCGTGCACCAGTCGTGCGTCCCACCAGTTCGTCAACAGCGAGTGTCCGTGCACCGTCGTTGTCGTCCTGTTCACACCGTCGACCCGGTCTTTTGGCGCGCAGTCGTGTTGTACTCTCCATGCGTGTTGCGTAACGGCGGCGGCGTTATCACACGGTGTGCGTTACAATATTATTATTTTAGTACGGTTGACATGTTTTGATCCGCGTGAGTATTATACATTATAATATCATTTTTTTTTTCCATTCGTTTTTAATATTATGATGTATTACCCCGTCATTGTGGCGATACAACGATGATACACGCAAGGCTGGGAGTAGATTATTATTTTCATTAAAAGTCACTAATCATCGTCATTAATCAATAGTACATCCAAATTCGAATAGTATTAACACTTGTCGTACCCGTGGTACATCAAACATGTTATTACTTTTGATAAAAGTAAAAAAGGCATAGAATTAAAGAATTGAGTTATAAACAATAATTCCATAACGTAAAAGAATAGTGTCAAGACGACACTTTTTATGATTACACATTCAGTCACTGTCATTATTTTTTTAGTCTTCCAACTTTAATAATTTATGGTTACCTATATTAACTTCGCTGATTTGGATCCCCGGTATTTTTGCAGAAATAAGAAAAATTATTTTACGTTGTTTTATCATCTATGCCATACGGAAGTTTTTCTTTCTAACATGGGATAGGTTACCTGTTAATATCGAATATTGAATAGTCGGTCTATACTTCATCACTTATGAGTACTTATTGAATAGATTACGGAATAATTTAGATTGTTAATGTAGGGAATAAAAATCGAAAAGAAATGATAGAGATGAAAACATTGTTTGATAAGTGATAATATTAAAAAAAGAATTTTTTAGTGAGGTCGTTCTCATTAGAAAAAAACATTTTAATAAATTTACACCCAGCCTTATTCGGTCTCCTCGTCGAAAATATTATAATTTCTAAAGTAGTATTGTATATTATTATAGTCGATAATATTTAGCATAAAAATAGTATAATATAACATTTTATTATAATTACGTCGACTCTTTGCGCATTTTGGAAACCATCTGCACTATGCAGGGTTTTATTATCCGAATAACATCACAAATTCACAATATTATTATGATGACACTGCGTACCAACTTAAATTCACGCCGTTCGTCAAATATATAGACAATAATACAATATTGTATGAATCGTTAAAATAAGAATGACGAAAAAAAAATTAATAATAATATGGTATTATAACAATAGTCAATAACTTATTGCTATTAGATAAGTTCTTAATATTCTATAATATAAGTAGTACGTGTAGAATGTAGATAGGTACGTTTTATTATTACTGTCGTATCTGTTTATCTCATATCTTATTATATAGTGTGCTTATATACTCTTTAGCCTTAGAACGTGTTCATTGATAATTCCTATTAAATTTAATAATGTGAATAAAGGGCTAGGTTAATTTGTTATTGACAGGGATTATAAGATAATAATATAATGTTAAAAACTGCAGCTAAAATAATACATATATTAAAATTTAGCTCGCGTAGCTCGACATGTCTTATTATGTGATATATAGTCATAATAATTGTATAGATATAGGTATTGTTTATTGCTCTTATAGTAAGTAACAGTTGTGTAAATTGATCAGACTCGAGTTCAAAATAATAATTCGATTCTTATTTTTATTTTTTTCTAATGTTACTTTTGAATTTTTAAAACGAATTGGTTCTCAAAATTTTCATTTACCTGCAGCTACTCTTCTTTCGAATAGTTTTAGAAAAAAAGAGGGTGATTCTGCATTTCTGCAACATAATACATCACAATGGGGTGTACGGCAGATCAGTTTAAGGGATCAAATACTTCGCTTTGTGTAGCCTCGAGAACTCTGCTGTATATCTAATCGGCTATTTAAACGAAATGAAAAAATATTTATCGATTTTAACATGAAAAATATTGAATAACTACGCAGTTTTTATTTAAAACTGTAGGTGATTCAGAAATTATTTTTTCGTATATTTTATCGTTATTGCCATATTCCTAATGGTTTGAAATTTATATAGAGAATGTTATTTGACTTATCTATTATATGTAGTATGTACCTACCATTGGATAAACTCGCCATTGTCAAAAGTACAATACACCAAATTTGCGTTCAGCAGAACCAATGTTATGATGTGCTTACTTTAATTAATATTAGAGTGAGTTGATATAATATCAAAATTACACGTAAGAACATTTTCTATGTCTATATATATGTTGGTTTTTTCAGATATTTACATTTTTAAGTGAGTCATGACTATAGAAAATTAACAATTTTAAAATATTCATAATTTGTTTAAAAATTAGAATATCGTAAAAAACCATCATTTAAACATAGATAGGTAATGTTTTTAGTTGGGTAAAAAGTTAATTCACTGCAATAATGAAGATAACAGCACTAAATTTAACTAGCTGAACATAAAATTGTTGTTTATAATATTTTTAAAGCATGTGGGTCCTCCTATAATTCTACAAGATGTTCACATTTTTTGAACGTTACAATATTCTATAATGGTAGATTGCAAATCAAAACAAAATAAAATATTTAATATCAAAAATTTGTGAAATTATAACTAAATCGTTTATTATGAATAAGTAGGTGGTATGTATGTTCAAATACAGTCAATTAGTCTAGTTATTTTTACATAATTATCACTACTACCTACTTGTTTTATAACTTTATATAAACAATAAAATATGATGAAACCATGGAAATACCTTTATTTTTATGATTAATAATTTTTGCAAATAAAATTAATTCTATTTCAATAGTTATTATATAATAATACGATCATTGAAAATAGATACTTCCTTCAAAGCATTTCAAATGACTAAGATCAATAAGTAATACAATATGAATTTACTAATATGTTATTGATTTCTATTTTGTTGATTAGTTTAGCCGTATAGGTCAAAAAACTTTAATGCGTATAAATTGTTATTATAACAATTTGAAAATATTAAAATTTAAGGGCACAGTTTTTTTTATAATCATTCAAAGTTAAAATTTTTGACAAAATTTGTTAAAATCACAAAAATTTACAAATAATTTGTAATTAAATTCTTATAAAATCTTCAAGTTGTATAACTTATATTTAAAAATGTAATACAATGTTCTCCATAAGTAGTTTATACTGTAACTAAAAAACCAAAATAATATACAAGTATACTTTTTATAAATATTTAAGTTAAAATTCAGACAAATTGCATATTTTAACGATGAATAACGATATATGTTAATTATTTTATATTCAAAATACTATTCGTGGTCATTTAAAATTTTTATGTAATTATGAATTATGCTATACATAGGTAATGAAATTTTCGAATTATGTAGATTAATTTATAGATACTATTCACGCATACTATGAACAAAAATTATGTTAAAAAACTCTGTTTTACAGTAAAATAGTGTGAGTCCAAAAGTTAATAAAAATATATATACTCGTATAATGGTATAAATATATATTGTTTTAATAATTAAATACTAATAATATTTTTAATGCATTGTTTTCGACAAAAATTAAATCAGCCTCTTGTAGTATTAATAGCAAAATAAATAAATTAATAGGTTTATCAAAAAATATATCATAAAATAAACTTTATAGTGTAGGCTGATGACTGTCTTCGCTTAAAATTATTTTTCATTAACATTAGGTATATCGTATATATCATATAATTCAAACTCAACCCACTTTAAATCTAATGTACAAGATAGTACCTACTACCTAGTTATCCACTTTTTTTCTCTTTACATTTTGATAAAAATATTTTTCGATTAAAAAGTTTGAAATTTAATAAGAGGTTCCTATTAATACATAGGTATTGATAAGTTATAATTATAACAATTTAAAAATATAAATACACAAGTTTCTGTAATTAATTTTCGAATAAAATTAAAATTTGAACGAAACATAACAATTTTTATTCAATATATATTAATTGTAGAGACTTGAAACTTTTCGCCTATGTAAATAATTATTTTTTATGTATAATTTAATTTTTTTATTATGCTAATTTTAAGTTATTTTATCATGAACCTTTTTGTGCATCGATATTAATTTATAAGTTAAACCTACCTATATATGTTAATCACAACATTATATAATATTATAATATCGTAATAATTAATGCCTGATGGCATAATATGTACAAATACGATGTGTAACTGGGACTGACAAGTTCACAAAGTTCTTACACCAACGACACTCCACCCCTTTGTTTAATCACAGAGCTCCCTCCTCCGGACGAATGTATTAAGACGAGTTTCCCGGAGCCAGACGTCTCTAAGCTTCGCGATCAGGGTACGACGGTTTTTAGGCCGCCGAATCAGCCCCCTTCGTACTAAGGCGGTATTCCCATCATATGTGCCCGCGGCCGCCTGTCAGACGCACGCAGTAACTAGAGCGTCGAGCTGCTATTAGCAAACTTGCCCGACGAGGCTGGTCTCCGATTCCCGCGGTACAAGGTTCAAACCCGGTGCCCTGGCCCTGGCAATTGCCAATTCGTTTGCGTCTAGCTAGGGCAGCATTGTGTCTACCGCAGTAGCATAATATGTACAATGATTTTTTTTTAAAACATAATATTGTTTAAAATTTAATCTACTGTGTTAATAATAAAAAAATAAATTACCAGTTTTAATAATGATCGTTTGGTAATATACGGTAATTTATCCCTATAACCATAATTGAATTCAAAAATCAAAAATTTCAAACATACATTATAAGTAGCTGCAAATTATATATTTTTTGAAAAATGTATTCTATGTAGAAAGTAATAACATAAGCGGAATTAAGTATCAAAAATTAAAAACTATAAGTTATTTATCAGTTAAAAATGTATAATTATTTATTCTAAATTGATGAATATCATCGACATTCTAACTCTTAATGTTTATAAAATTGTAATAAATATGATTTTAATATAAATAAGTGCAGTTTATAAAACTAGTTTGTTAATTCTATATTTTCAAACTTTTTGACTTAATTACAACAATTTTATGAACATAAAATAAGAAATTAAAAAGAAAACAGTAAATTTATAGTAAAAATAACATGTACCATAGATAATAAAAAGTTTCAGTTTTTATTATTTATATTAAGTATATAAAGTGCTATTTATAAATATTTGAAGTTATCTTTAACTAAGTTGGAGATTAA